GCAATTTGCTGTCTTGGGCTCTCCCGGGCAGAACCACAGGAGGGTTACCGGCTGCCTGTGGAGCCAGACTGTTCAGTGCCTGAATCGTGGCTCCATCACTAAGTAACTGTACAACCTTACTACAGCGTGCCTCAGCTTCCTCATCTGTAAAATGGGCATCTTAATAATAGTGCCTCCCTCACAGGGTGTGGTGGGGATGACATGAGTTAATATATTGTAAGCATTTAGGATTGTACTTGGCACATAGTATATGCCGTACAAATGTTTTCTCTTAATCTTAAGACTTAATAGCAACTGATCCAGACAATCTCAGAGACCCCTTCCAGCTCTGAAGTCCTGAGGCACCTTAGTGAATGGATACAGGTGTTCCCAGCTGCCCCTGACAGCTAGGCTTCCACTCAGGGTTCTCAGCCTTGGCTCCCATTAGAGTCACCCAGGAAGCTTTAAAAAGTACCAGTGCCCAGGCTTGACACCTCCAGGCTTGGATGTAATTGGTCCAGAGTGTGGCCTGGGCACCGGGATGTTTTTTAACTGCCCAGGTGATTCTACTGTGCACCTGAGACAAGAGAACCACTGAGATAGTGGTTTCAGAAACCCTCTGTCTGACTGGGGTTCCAGGCGGCCTCCATCAGTGACAGTTCTCCCCACCATCGTAGAGTAGGGAAGCCACCACAGCCTCACTGGGATGGACAAGGAGCCTAGAAAGTTATGTTCATTACTTACCAGGGCGATCCTTCCTGGCTCTGGGAGGCGGGTAACTGACACACCACTGTGGGCCAGAGTCCCTGAGCAGGAGCATCGTAACCCCTGGGCGGTGGCCTGTGCCTGCAGGTGTGCAGGAGTGGGTGTGAGCACAGGGGAGAAGAGGAAGGACTTGTCCCCAAAGCTGCCCAGGAAGCATCCTAGAGGGAAAAGGATGCCTGAGCTGGAGAAGTTGGTCTGCGTGACTCTGGAGCCCCACCTTGTGGCAAAATGCTGCCACTGCAGCAGGAAGAATCCAGACTCAAGGCCAAGGGCTGGAGTTGACTCCAGACAGCTCACGTTTGGTCTGCACCATGTTTTTTGAATTTGTTGTCAATCTTTAAAAAGTCAAGATTTTCCACCTAAAAATCTCAGTTCTGGTTTATGGAAGCATCGTGAAATCTAGGCGCTGCGGGGCTGCATGCCCACAGGACCCTCCTCTAGGAGGAAGGTGGGATTTTCGGTGCGCTCTGTCCCCCTCACTCCTCTGACCTTCCTAGAGCTTGCTGGAGGGAGCTCAGGAAAACGCAAAGCAAGTCTGCCTCCTGGGACGGTGGGATCTATGGAAGCTCTGCCTCGAGGCTGGTCGCACTGCAGACTGGGAGACTGATAGCTGTTGGGGGCCGCTACGTGACAGGGGCAGGGCAAAGCACCACCAGTGGGCTTGTGCCGGAGACACAGTGGGGACCGAAGGGGGCAGTGGTGTGTTGGGCCCAAGCCTGCTCCACTCAGACATCTTTTCCATGATCTCCCTCCACACGGCCTGCTCCCAGCTTTACATCCAATAATAGAGGATGCCGACCATGCTGCAGATGGGATAACTGAGCACTGTGGTGGGATCAAGGGGCTTGACCTTTGGCCAGGGTTGGAATTTCGGCACCCAGAGCCTGGTTTCCAGCCCCATTCCTGCCCTGGCCTAGCAATGCCCCTCCCCTATGCCACCGAACTGGACCCGGATGGCCCCCTCCTCTCACCTCCTATCTGTGGCCTTCTAGGTGCTGGTTTGGCAAAAGGCCTGGGGTTTACACCGACTACATCTACCAGGGCCCCATGATCTTGGTCCTGCTGGTAAGAACCTGGGGGGGGGGGCAGTCGGGAGGAGCCATCAGAGCTGACTGTGGACCCAAAGGATCCCTCTGCCTAGAATATTCGAGTGCTAGTGAAGGTGGCGGGAGAGCAGCAGGGGGGACCAGGACCAGACCTGAGATGGCTAAGTCCCTAACATCTTGCACACACACATGCCTACACCATCCCCCTGTGTGCTCGCTTGCAGATCAATTTTATCTTCCTTTTCAACATCGTCCGCATCCTCATGACCAAACTTCGGGCATCCACCACGTCGGAGACCATTCAGTACAGGTAAGTGGTCCTGTGTCCCCCACCCCTGGGGGCTCCAGAGATCCCAGTCCTTACCCAGGGTCTTCCCCCAGGCCTGACAGTCCCTCCTGAAACCCCAACCCCCCATCTCAGACACAGGGGACTGACTCCCACCCCAGCCCCCTCTGGGGTGGGCTGTGACTCTGGCTTCCCCGCCCTCCACCAGGAAGGCTGTGAAGGCCACTCTGGTACTGCTCCCCCTCCTGGGCATCACCTACATGCTGTTCTTTGTCAACCCCGGGGAGGACGAGGTCTCCCGGGTCGTCTTCATCTACTTCAACTCCTTCCTGGAATCCTTCCAGGTACCAACGCCTTCCCCTCTGGTCCTGCCCCCCACCCTCCACCCCACACCTCCAGGGGTGGGCATTCTCCCAGACGGGGGCCTGGAGGGGCAGGACACGGGGGAGGGAACGGGCTGCCCGGAAACTGAGTGGGACCACTCAGCCCAGTCCCTTGACCCGCCTTCTCCTCCACCCCAGGGTTTCTTCGTGTCTGTGTTCTACTGTTTCCTCAACAGTGAGGTAAGGACCCCGGGCTGGGGTTCAGAATGGCAGGAGGCCTGTTGGGAGGAGAGATGGTCTGCAGCCTCCCTCTGCCCCCCACATGCTGGCCCTCCTCCCTGCCCCCAGGTTCCTCTAGAGATACCCTGGAGGGTCCGGCCACCTGCCCACGCTGCTCCTGCCGTGGCAAGCCTACTCCTTTGCTCACTTAGGCAGTTGACATCGGGAGGCGGGAAGAGCTGGGGCCTCAGCCTTATCAATGGGTCTGTGAAATGGGTTGTTGAAAGCCAGGAAGCTGAGCCCTAGGGCTGGGGATGCATGTGGATGGAGGGTAGGGGTTCTTCATGGCAGAGACACTGTGTGGGTTAGAAAAAGGCATTCCTTCCTCGGGACACCTGAGAAAACAGTCCCAGTGTTCCTGTGGCCCCCTGTGCACCCCACACCAGTACGCTGCTCACCTGCATAGCTGTTTGCCTGACAGCTGCTGGTGGCAGCCCTCGGGGAGGGAGGGCCCTCCTGCGACTGGGCTCAAACGTCATGGTCTGCTCTATGCCCACAGGTCCGCTCTGCCATCCGGAAGAGGTGGCACCGATGGCAGGACAAGCACTCGATCCGCGCCCGGGTGGCCCGCGCCATGTCCATCCCCACCTCCCCAACCCGTGTCAGCTTTCACAGCATCAAGCAGTCCACGGGGGTCTGAGCTGGAAGGCCGTGTCTGGAGGGGACCAGCTCCCCCCCCCCCATACTGGCCCTGAGACCTGGGAGGCCCCTCCCTGACCCCCAGCTGAGCAGGAGTTCTGGCCTCTGAGAGCAGCCACAGTCTGGGCCAGGGGGCGATTGGAAAATAAGCTATAGGACTCGGCTGGGCCCAGGGCCTCTGGCTCCCCCTGGCCCCCAGTCCTCCCTGGCGAGTGGAGTGAGAATGGGGAGCCAGGCCATCCAAAGCAGCACAGGGGTCTCTCCAAGAGGTGTCCTCCCAGAGCACAAGGTGGCCAATGCACTGTGGGGGTATTCGCTGCCCCAGGGGCATCATGGGAAACTCTTGGAACAGCATCCCAACCACGGAGATAATGCCTCCGGGCCTTAGCAATGCCTTCCAACAACGCTGGGAGCCAAGGCTTGCTGTCAGAGCCCTGGAGACGTTAGAAATCGGTGGCATCATCAGACATCAGGCTACGTGACCAGAAATCCTCCCACGCCACCAGAACGTCATCTGGCCCTGTGGCGCTGCCACCAGAAATGCCCTGCCTTGCTGCACCCTTGGACTTTTACTGCCCTGCCAGCCACACAAGCTCCCTCTCCCTAACCTCCTGCCCCAGTTGTCTCCACCTTTGTGAGAAGATGGGGGCTGGGGTGTGCCCCAGCCAAAGCCAGTCTCCCTGTGAAGGGGCAGAGAATGCAGAGGACCATCCAGCCTGCTGACTGAAGTGACCTGGCCTCTGGGCAGCCCCTCTGCTGGTCACAGAGAGCTTGTTGCCCCTGGATGTCCTCTGGGGCAGCACTGTTAGCTACGCAAAGATAGGAGAAAGGGCAGGACCCTCAGGCCCCAGCGCCTGGAGCAGCACAAGTGGCCGTTGGGTCAGCTGATCACATCCACCCCAGGCATAGACTGGCTCAGCCCTCACTGGACAGCCAGGGCTTTGGGGGTGCAGGGCTGGGAGATGGGGGTGGCTGATGTAAGTAATAATATTTATCTTTTCAACCAGCATCTGTGAAGTTCTGCACTGTGCCGGAGCTGGGTGGAAAGGGTCTGCAGAGAAATGGAGGCCACTTTGAGGGTTCAGGGCCTCTGTGTGTCTGGGGAACACACACACCCATCAAGGATGGGGTGCTAGGTGAGCCCTGAGGGCTGGTTGAGGACTAGGTGGGTCCTGCTGGCCCAGGTGATAAGGACAGCTTTTGTAAGGGGGTGCGTGGTAGGGAGAGACAGGCTGTGGGTGAAAGATGCAGGTAAAGGACATCGTGGGCAGGGGCACAGCTTGAGCAAAGGCATGGCGATGGAGTGTCCCAGCCCCAGGGGAGAAGCTCAGGTGGAAACAGGGAGCAGGTGAGGGTGGGGGCCAGGAAAGGAAGGTGGCAGGAAGGGTAAGTGCACACAGGCCATCACCCCTCTGGGCAGCTGGAACTTAATCCTGCTGGACACTTGGGAAGCCGAGTGGGACACACGCCTCCACCAGCCCATCGAGGATCGAGGGATGTTTATCTACCAGCTCCTTCAGTCAGGGGGTGAAGGCTGCTACCAGGGTCACTAATCCTCCTGCACTTCCCATGGCCACTTGGGCCACAAGGAGGCCGAGAGAGAGCGTCCAGTCACAGCTGGGTGCGGTGGAAGCCGGTGTGGGCGGTGTCCTGGGGGACAAAGGGGCGGGAGGGACAATGAAACTCCCAGCAGCACACACAGGGCCAGGGCAGCTGGGCCTTGCCGCGGGGTCTCTGACCACACTTGCACACAGGGCGCGTGGTGTCGGACACCAGCACAGGCTGATGGGTACCGAAGCTCCCTGCAGGGAAGGGAGGTGCAGTGGGTGGGGGTCTGGCTCAGGGAGGAGCTGCGGGTGTCCCTGAAGGCCATGTGGGCACCCTGCTCTGCCAACTCCAGCTCTGTCCCCTTAAGTAGAGAGATGGGAAGACATGAGGAGGGGACCGGGGGACACAGGCTAACAGCTTCCAGAGTAACTGGGGGGAGAAGCCCCAGAAAGAGTCCTGGCTGGCAGGCGGGACCGTAAGTGGCTGATGGGTCTCGAATGGCCACACGGAACCCTCTTCCTCAACTCTGCGTTCCACTCCATGAAGGAGAAGTGATAAAGGGAGGTTTTCCTGGGAAACGTCGGGATGTGGGGCGGGGCCTCCCACGGATGGGCTGGGGGACTCTGAGGGGTTGCATACATAAGGTTCCTTGAGGGGGCGACAGGGGTGGTGCCCCCTTTCCTGTTTGAGCCTCCTGGTGGCTTTAGTTGATGGGCTCCCTGAGCACCTACTGTGCACTCGGCCCTAGGCCCGGTGTGCGGGGCCAATGAGCAGCACCCCAATGCCAGCCACGAGCTGCTCAGCTCAGAGCTCAGTGCTTGGAAGGCCTTGGGAACCACTTCCAAGGCTGCCGTCATCAGTTCTCCTCTGAGCCTTGGGACCCCTCCCATCCAGAGACTGTAAGGGCAGAGGGGCTGCTTCAAGCACAGCTGGGAACATCTGGGCCCCAAAGAACTGCAGCTCCTATGCCAGGGCAGGTGCCCTGAGTGTAACCCTTCCACGGCCCGTGTGTGTTCTGGGCTCTGGGACCAGGGTGAAGGCAGGCCCCAAACAGGATTTCTGAAGGTCATTCTGCCCTGAGGTGGCCTGTGGGTGGAGTGGGAAGAGAGGTCCCTTGCGGGTGGGGGTGGTTCTCTGGGCCAACAGACACACAGGTCACTACACTTCAGGGAGGGGCTGGGCAGCTGCAGGGTGGGGTCACTGTGGTACAGGCCCCTCTCTCAAGCCAAAGATCACAGTCCCCTAAAACTGCCTTCCCTGAGTCCATTTCTCCTGGGGACCCTCCCTCCTAGGCGCAGATCAGCAATGGAGGGAAACCACAGTGTGGGGTTGATTTTCCATTTTGGGCTTTCCCTCCCCGCCTCCTTGAATGTGATAATAGGATCCCGGTGGGGGGGGTGGGGGATCCTCAGCTTCCCCTCCAGCCTCCTCAGTCCCCTGCTGCTGCCGGGTCAGACCCCTAGGACCAGGACTGGGGAGGGAGTCAGATCTGGGTAATACACTGATTAGGAAGGGAGGGAGGTTTTGGAATCCAGATAATAATTCTTTCATTGTGGGCATTTGTAGATCTCTTTGTATTCCACCGAATCATTTAAAACATTTATCTAACCCTCAACTAGCCAATGGAGGTAGGAACTAGCCCATTTTACACCTGAGGAAACTGAGGCCTGGAGGCTCACCTGAGATCAACAGTCCTTTGGGCTCCAAGTTCAGGGCTCTTTTTACCCTCTCAAGTTGACTAAAGTCACTAGGCTTGAATCTGGGGAGACCAGGACTGATAAAGCAGATGCGGGGAGCGGCGGGGGCGGGTGGGGGGTAGCAAGGAGGCCTCAGTGTTTCAGACGGTCTGATTGAGGATGTGTCCCAGGGGGAAATGGGACCAGCCCAGAGATGGCCCAACCAGTGTCCAGCTGCTGAGTCCAGCTGGGTGGGAGCTATGAGGGTTGTGTATGTCCTCCTGCCTCCCAGCCTTCCTTCCCTATCTCCCCAACACCCTCCACCCCTCCACTTCTTAACTGTAAATAGTGCAGCCCAGGCCACCAGAAGCCTCTGGGAGTCTCTCTGCATCCACCCAGATACTGCCCAGTCCGGCGAGGATGCCACTGGCCTCAGGATCATCTCATCCAGCCCTGACTTCAAACCCAACAGCCCACCCTTGGTCCAAATGAAGGGGGTGCATTCTGCATTTCACCAACAACGACACTGTCATTCATTGAGTGCTCACTGGGCACCAAGCGCCGCTGAGCCCCTCACTTGTTGACCTCATCTACTCTTCACACCACCCTTTGAGGCAGGTGCTATTATCCCCACTTAACAGATGGGGAAAGTGAGGCCCAGAGAGGTTAAGAGAGCTGCCCAAGAGCACCCAGCAGTGGCATGGCTGGATGTGAACCCCAGCTGGCCTCCCTTAACCTGCACTGTGTCCAACCCCTATGCAGCAGGAGTTCTTTGTAGCGCACCCCTCCCTGCCCTGCTGCCCCCTCCAATGCCCGCCCTCGGGAAATTCTTTGGTTTTCCCAGTTTGTGGACAAACAGATACGAAGCTGGATGTAGGAGTTGGTGTCTGCAAAGCATGAGCCTTGGGTGGATCCCAGCCCAGCCTCCAGAGAGACCACAGGCTGCCCGCCTCCCAGCATAACCCAGTCCTCCTCCATCTCTAAACATTGCCTCCCAGACCCTACCCTCTGCATCCCACCAAGCCCTGCAGCTTGGGGGCAAGAGATGTCTGGGCCGTGCATTATCTTTCAAAGCTCTCAGTACGTTGGAAACACCACCAAGATCACCATTTGGAGATGACTCTAGAGACCTCCAGAACTGCAACAAGCCTGTCTTGCGCCCAGTGCCCCTGGAAGGGACTGCAGCTGGCATCACTGTTCTCTTTTAATTGTGGCAAAATACACATAACACAGAACTTGCCATCTCGACCGTGTGCTAATGCACAGTTCAGTGCCACTAGTGCACTCACTACCACCCACTTCCAGAACCTGTTTGTCTCCTCATGGAAACACCATACCTTAAGCACTCACTCCCATTCCTCATTCCCCCAGCCTCTGGCCACCACAAACCTGCTTTCTGTCCCTGCAGATTTGCCTGTTTTTGATATTTCATAAAAGTGGAATCATACACTTGTCCTTTCGTGACTGGCTTCTTTCACTTAGCACAGTGCTGTCAGGATGCATCCATATTGTGGGACCCTGAATCAGAACTTCACTTCTTTGGCCGAAACCGGTTTGGCTCAGTGGATAGAGCGTCGGCCTGTGGACTGAAGGGTCCCGGGTTCGATTCCGGTCAAGGGCATGTACCTGGGTTGCGGGCACATCCCCTTAGGAGATGTGCAGGAGGCAGCTGATCGATGTCTCTCTCTCATCGATGTTTCTGACTCACTCTCTCTCTGTCTCTCTCTCTCTCTCTCTCTCTCTCCCCCTTCCTCTCTGTAAAAAATCAATAAAATATATTTAAAAAAAAAAAAAAAAGAACTTCACTCCTTTGAACGCCCGCTTTCCATTCTCTGGGGTATATGTAACTGTTCAGCTTCCTGAGGAGCCCCCAGACTTCTCCGCTAGGGCTGCACCATTTTACATTCCCAACAGCAACCTATGAGGACTCCAGTTTTTCCACGTTTCTGTCAAAACTTGTTATGATCCAAGTGTTTGATAACAGCCACCCCAATGGGTATGCTGGTCCTTGGTTTTCAAGATTTGAAACTCCCTGAGTGGACAGTGGGGGACCCAGTGAGGGAATAGACTGAGCATCAGTAACTGGGGGGGTGGGGGGAGCAGAAAGTTTTATTATCACAGAGCTCAGTAAGGGGCTGGCTAGCCTGCTGTGCCCAGCACCTGGGCGCTCGAATGCAGAGGCGCACCTAGTCTAAACACCTCTACACTCCGAAAGAACGGCTCAGCCAAGTGTCCCTTCTCTAACTGCCCCGACCAAAGCACCAGTCCTCCCTTTGCAAGGGGAGCCCAGCAGAGGGGCAGCCGGCACCTCCTCCATTTTTTTCCAGCTCCATCCAGGCTACACTCAGAGTCGATTGCTTCTCTGCCCTAATGCATTTCTGACAGTTCACTTGTCATTGGAATTACTGGTCTGTAATCTAATTAAGTGTTATATTAATGGATGAATCAGAAGTACACAAACAACGAGCGACGCTGTTCCTTATGAAAACTCAGTTGAATGGTTTGAAAGACACCATCTGAGTTGGACAAAAAAATAGCTGTCAAGTGAGGTGTGGGTGAGACAGATATAAATAATTGGGTGGGAAGAGGTTGTCAAAGTCTATACAGTTCCACTTGTCAACCATTTTGCAAGGTCCTTTAAACTCCCCCTCCCCCTCAAAGAGTCCAAGGCTGGATGGCGGAGATGGTGTCCCCTTGGTGTGGGTGTCACAAGAAAGGTGACTCAGAATTAAATGGGTGGACACATAACTAAAGGAGAGGCCTTGAGGAAGGTCAGGGACTGTATGCTGATTCCTTGGGAGTTAAAATAAAATGTGTTTTATGCATTGAATTGTGTTCCCCAAAAAATGACAAGTTAGAGTCCTAACACCAGTATCTGTAAACGTGACCTTATTTAAAAATAGGGTCTTTGCAGATGTAATCAAGTTATGATAAGGTCATTGGCTGGGTCCTAATCCAATATGACTGATGTCCTTAAAAGACAAGAGACACAGAGACACAGAGGGAGAAGGCCATGTGCAACACAGGCAGAGATTGGGGTGATGTAGCTACAAGCCAAGGAACACCAAGGATTGCCAGCCACCCCCAAAATCAGGAGGAGAGAGGAAGGATTCTACCCATAGTCTCGAAGGGAGCATGGCCCTGCTGACACCTCGATTTTGGACTTTTCTTAGTGTGCTCGGGCTGCTATAACTAATACCATAGACAGGGTGGCTTAAACAACAAGCACTTATTTCTCTCAGTTCTGGAAGTCCAAGATCAAGGTGCCAACAGATTCAGTTCCTGGTGCGAGCTCACTCGCTGGTTTGCAAACGGCCACCTTCCTGCTATGTCCTCACAGGATGGAGAGAGCATCTCTCTCCTGTCTCTTCTTATAGGGGCACCAATCGCATTCATGAGACACAATTACTTCCTGAAGGCCTCACCTCCAAGCACCATCACACTGGGAATTAGAGGTTAAACATAGGAATTGGGGTGTTGTGGGGAAGGCACTCACAAAAACTTAGTCCATAGCAGACTTCTAGCCTCCAGACTGTGGGAGAATAAACTCCTGTGTTAAGCCACTCGGTTTGTGATCATTAGTTGAGGCAACACAAGGAACCAACACAATGTGTAAAGTCTGTAGGTAACTTCGTAAAGATTCCCTTCATGAATCCACTTTTTCCGTCACCCCATCTCCCACCCAGTCCCACTCAACGGGGATGAGCGGCTGGCCACCAGGTCTGAGCACACCACACAGCCCAGGGGGTTAGCTGGAGGCTCACGGCCCCACAGCCTGCGCTTGAATCTCATCTCCACCACTGATGAGGCGCCTTGGAAAAGTCTCCTCGCTGCCCTGTGCCTCAGTCCCTTCTGCTGTAACACAGGGTCGCTCACTCGTGCATCCCACGTGTATGTCCCTGGCATCACTGTCTATACCAGAATGCAGGAGCAGCGGCCGAGAACAGACAAGGTTCCTGTCCTCACAGATCTCAAACGACAGAAAAGAGACGGAAAATAAACAAGGAAACCCATAAACAAGCAAAAACCTAGGACTGTGATACGTGCTTTGAAGACAGTACATCCTGAGTTGTGATCATGACATGCTAAGAAGCGGGGCTATTTTCTCCTGACGTTGGCGGTGAAGATGTCCCTGGGGTTCGGTCCTGAAGGACACACACAAGCAGCAGGTGAGGCTTTGGGGCAGAGAGCAGACTGCAGGGCCAGAAGCCCTGGGGCGTTCAGGGAGCCTCAGGTTCCCCACCCACAACACGGGGGTGTTCAGGTGAGTGTTAAGCTAACGTAACAGAGACCACAATAAGGCAATGGCTTCAGGAAGATAATGGATCACCATCCACAGTGAGCACCCCGTGCCACTGCTCCATGCAGACATCCAGGACCCAGTTCCTTCCACCCCCTCCCTTAGGACAATGTCCTCTTCTCCGCAGTCAATGACCCACACGTGTCCATGACTGCCCTGAGAGGGACAGAGATGGACAAGGAGCCCACGGAGCCCCTCTGGAGGGCTCACATTATTTCTGCTCAATTCCATTGGCAAGAAATGGCCATGTGGCCATTCCTAAGTCCAAGGGAGGCTGGCAAAAAAAATTCTGGTCACTTAGCGGTAGAAAGGGGCATGGATTTGAAGGCCAGCTCAGCCTCTAGTAATACCTCCTTGCAGGCACACAATGAGGACAGATCAAGTATCTGGCACTTAGTGGGAGCTCAACAGAAGTGCACAATATCGTGGAGCTCAGAGCCTCAGGAACTCTCTGACCCAATGTCCTCATTTCTTTGCAGCTGAAGAAACAGGGGCAGAGGAGAGGCACCTGCCGGGGTCACCCAGCGGGTAAGGGGCCAACGTTGGTCCCGAATCCTGTCTGGGATCCTCAACCCCATCCTCCCACATGTGATTTCACATTACCTGGCTCAGCCCCACCTGGGGTTGGGCAGAAAGCAGGGACCCAAATGACCCCTCTACACAGAGGCGGTGTTGGGGGACAGGACCCGAGAGGGACCCTGTTTTCTGCAGCAGTGTCCTAGGTCCCAGGGGCACAGCTTTATGACTGGGTAGGTGTGGCCCTGGTTTCTGGGATGGGAGGCCACCCTGCTCTGTGACAGAGGGCCACACCCACCCCCTGGGAGAGGGAGCTGGGCTGTGAGCAGCTGTCAGGTTGGGTTGGCTGAGGAGGATGGCGTGCCTGGGTTTCCTCCTCCTCCTCCTCCTCCTCCTCCTTCTGGCTAGCGCAGTGGCTCAGGGGGAGTACGGCGTGGTCCACGTGGTGTCACAGAACTGGAGCAAGGACTACTGCGTGCTGTTCAACTCGGATTATGTCACCCTGCCCCGGGACCTGCGCCACGCCCCACTCCTGCCCCTGTATGATGGCACCTCGGCACCCTGGTGCCCTGGCAAGGACTTCTCCCATCAAGCCCAGCCCAGCTCCCCCAGCCAGCGGCCCCTCCACCGGACCACCGCCATGGTCATGCGGGGCAACTGCAGTTTCTACGCTAAGGGCTGGCTCGCTCAGGGCCGAGGCGCCCACGGGCTGCTCATCGTGAGCCGGGCCAGTGGCCAACAGTGCGCAGACACCACCCTGGCGTCCCAGGACCCCCACAAGCCCCTGCCAGACCTCACCATCCCGGTGGCCTTGCTCCGATACTCTGACATGCTGGACATCCTCGGCCATACCCACGGGGGCGCCATGGCCCGAGTGGCCTTGTACGCGCCTCCAGAGCCCATCCTCGACTACAACATAGTGGTCATCTTCATCCTGGCCTTGGGCACCGTGGCCATGGGTGGCTACTGGGCTGGCCTGACAGAGGCTGATCGGCTGCAGCGGCGCCGGGCCCGGGGAGGAGGGGGGCC